ATAAAAAGTGCTGAAAGAGGAATCTTTAAAACGCTAGGATATAAGCTTCCCAAGAATACAATGTCAAATGACTTAAACATATTGTACATGTACTTTGCATATCCATTAAAATTAAAAACTAGAGTCATGGAACTCTGTACTGAGCTTTTGAACTTACTTATTCTTTTTTGGCCTACAATACATCGTAAACTGCACTCTATTTATTCAGGAACAGGATTAAAAGAAGCTGTATTTAAATGTTTATTGGCTCACCGATGTTATATTCCTTCAGGGATTATTCTAACAGGAATGCAGTTGGTTGAGGCATTTAAAGTTCTTGATAAGGATAGAATTGGGATGGAGCTTCAAGGAATAACCGGGATTCACTTCGACCATCTGCAGTCCTTAAGTGATATTCTTTACAGAATTGCTAATAAGAAAAAAAACAAACCTTTATTCTTGCCAAATTAAAGCTAGCTGTGTTTCATAAACTATGACCAAGGTTTTGTGTACTTTAATAAATCTTTTAATTTGAATAAAAGTTAATAATGGTTTTCTAGTACTTTATTTACAGTTTTTAAAAGTGAATAATTGTAATATTAATAATGTTAATTTTAACTTACTAACATGCAGCATATTTAATTATCCTCATCAGGAATTGCGTCTAAACCCTAAAAACACGACACATTTGATTTTCCAAAACTAAACATTAAATATAAAATAAACAATTGAATTATTAGTGTAATTAAATAACATAAATGGAATCGTGAAACCAAACTCACATTTATTTTATAAGGATTGCCAGTTAAAGTCCAATCCCTTAAATACTGCAGCATGTCTTCCGTTTCTAATAGTCTACGTCTGTAGCTCTAAAAAACGTTTAAAATAAGCTTACATAACTATTTGAGGTTAATTTTTTAAAAATATCTTACATTTCCACAAATCGCCTTATTAATAACAAAAGCCGAAAAATGAGGTAACGCCATTGCTGCTACAACTATCCCAAAACTAGGTAATATTTCATACCACATCTTTTAAGGCAATATAAAGTCCCAATTAATAAACATAAAACACAAATACAGTAGTCTACGGAAAGACCATAGGGAATGACCATAGGGGAAAGACCGAGTTTAACTGTCAGATGGTATAATAATAACATGTAAGATCGTTATTTTAGCTACTAGTAGATTACAAACGTTTCAACTATAACACGTTATTTTTAAATCACGTAGCTGATTTCTACATTTCTAGAATACAAACTTTTTTCAAAACACATTACTTATACAAATAGTTTTCCTATTCGTAAAAAACTTAATTTTTTAACGTTTTGGCCGAATATGTATAACTTAGCAATGACGAAAATAACGTAACTTGCAATGTTTTAAAACGTTTACGTTATTTGTAGCACTACTTCCTATTCCTAAGCGCTGCAACCAATTATGCCGGTGCAGAGAAGAGAGACGTCTCTCTTCTCTGGCCGGTGGAAAAACAGTTGGAAAAACGCAATTGTTTTTTCATCAACTTCTGCAACCAACATTACAGTTACAAGTTTAGTAGATGTTTTCTTTCTATAGTACATGTTTAAAAGTTTTGTAGGTACTACATATTTTTTGTAAAAAAACGGTCATATTTTTATAAAATAATCCATAATAAGTAAGTCGTAATGCATCAAGACAAAATTAAAAATTAAATACCTATTTAAAGCTATTTAATACTTTTGGAATATCGATTGTAATTTTCTATGAGAACAGAATCTTCTACTTAAACAACGCCGGAATGATTGATAACATTCAAATAGTAGGTTTAAATGATATTTTTATTTATGTTTGTTATACCGATTGACAATTTCAACATAAATACTTGTAAAACTATATCTATTACATACCACCAACGCTTCGGCAACTCGANTATATTTAATTTAAATTTTAAATAATTCTAAATGTTGCAATAGATTCAACAGTAAACATTTCCTGCCCCTTTTATATCTACCTACATCAATAACGAATGACGACAAATGGAATAATTGAAAACAATAATCGTTTACAGAAGCAAAGAACCTACTTTTTTGTTTTAGGCAGAATAATTATTTACCAAAAGCGTTCTTTTTCAATGTACATGCGTATTCAAACGATTACAAGCGAAATGAAATCAAAAGTGACGGCACTAAAAACAGAGGTTATATATAACTGTGTTGTTATTGAATGTACTTTATAAAGGTTTCGGACGGAAAAGCCGGTTGCCAGTATGATATTTATTTGTAATCGATCCTTCCTAAAACTTGTTCATGTACCTAACTATGGTATGGCAAGTTTCCCGTATAGGTATCGTAATAAAAAGAATGGTTTTTATGAACAGTGACGACAGACGTAGTGCAATTATAGAATCGAATGCTCTTAGCACCGAGGCTTTGAGCAACCTAGAAGCCGGTTTTCATTTCCTTTTCTATAAGATTTTCGATTTGGCATTTTTATTTAATTTCCTCAAGCACTGTAATGCTTAGATACTGTGATGTGATCTGTGATTGCCGCGATTTTTAGTGCAGACAATTTTTAATTGCAATCGAATACAACAGGGTGTACAGTTGAAAAAGACGCTATTTCTTCAATGTCATACACAGTTGGTATCGTTGTTATTATTATTGATGTATATTGGTTGGTTTATTAACATTTACGAGAACTTGCACCTATGTATATTAAATAATTGTCTTATATAACGTCAACCAATCAAATCACAGAACTTGAACAAAGTATATAACGCATCATTACCTTTTTTCTTATTGGCGGATTGTCAGGCATACAAAAATATTATTTACCTGTTATACAATGCATGTATAAAGGAACATTTCCGTTGCAGATTAATATAAATTTTTAGTTTACGATGTACCTGTAAGCTAAATTCGTGAAAATCACGAAACAAATAAATAAATTCGAAGATGTACCTATACTTTTAGGCATACAATTCATGCGCACATACAGTTTGTCACAAACGAGTGATTTTATTTTTCGTGCAATTACTACCATGTTTCCAAACAGTTCATAAATATCTTAGCAGCATACATTCGTAGGTATAACAATTCTTTGCCTACTTTGGTAGAAGCAGCGAATCTATTAATATTCTAATCTGGTCGTTTATTTAGAATTGTAAAAAATAGGTACTATACATAACTAATCCTGATAAATTTTAAAGTTAAAGAGTTAATGTGATGTTTCTATTTCGAAAAAATCGAATTAAATACAGTCCGAATACTGTACACATACACGTGTGTTGTTCACATTTAAAAGCAAACCCATGCAAAAATATACAAGACAAAGTTGTCATTTAAAATGGGTAAAATTTAAATTCGAAAAACTGTTTGTTAAGCTTTTTATTAGTACTTACCCGTTTTTAGATTGTACCAGGCTGCTTTATTGTATAATAAAAGAAAAACTTTAATGGCATGCGATTTTTCCCGTTAATAAATTCGAAGACAAAAAAGTTATTAATACCTACCTAATTCCATTTTGAGAGCTTAATATATTTTATTAATTAATTTTTTCTATAATAATTTTGGTAGTGTATATAGAGCACAGTCTGAAAGTGAGAATGTTTTCGTAATCTGTTAGATTAAGGACCAATTTATTTGATCTAACAATTCATATTTGACCTTCATATACATTATTTGTATTCATTTTGTGTATGTATACATATATATCCTAAAGAAATACTTACTGGTCAGGGTTATGGAATTTAACCTTGGAAATTATTTTTAAAATATTGCTTAATTTTGACTGCTTTTACGGTAAAGGAACCAAAAAACAATAAAGCTAGAAATTAAACACTAAAACTGCATATTCATACGTTTTGCTTTCGTTTAATCTGACAGGAAGGCTGTAGGGGAATAAGCACGGGTTTAGTAGGATGCCACCCTCACATGGGAGTGAGAAATAGAAAATTAAAATAATTTCGCTAATATTCATTATAGTGCATTTGAGAAAAAATTACAACCTGACAAAACAAGATGATTTTACTTTTAAAACTTTTTTCAATTTGCTATTTCAATGTTTCGATATTACCAAAATAAACATCCAAATTTACTATAATATTAGTACAGAACCAGTAAAATATTTTATCTGTTTGTTATTCATTTTTTCAATATGATAGCACATACCTAATAAGAATATAATTTTTACTGTATTTGTTGGTTATACAATCTTTTTAATTATTATTACACAGATACGAAAAATTAGAATCTAACTTTGAAAATCAATGTTGCTATGTTTAAAGTATTATTGTAATCACAGCATCGGCTGTTCTGTTTTTTTTTATAATTTTTGTAAATGTCTTTTTTACCTCTAAATGATTATATTATCTGATGTATGTTTAAGTGATATGGCAAGTTGTGCATGTCTATGGGTGTCTACACTCTACAAGAAAGCAGATCACATACCCACTGTTGTCATAAGATAAAAATTTATCAGTTAAACAAATACCGCATCTTATAATTTTTAATAATCATATAGATATACCTATAAATGCTTATATACGTATACAAGGGCGTCATGTTTTTTCTTGCTCTGATCAGATTAACTATATCAGAACGGGGTTGTCTCCTTCTTTTTCAAAAAAACACTGCAGTCTAATTGTTTAAATTATTTTTTTTACAAGACCATAAGTTTGCGTTCTTATACTGTGTCTTTCAATAAAATTATTCTTTAATTACACTGTTGAGTATTTTCTCGTTTGATTAATGATGTACGTATTTAGTTTTAACTAACGACTAAGGATTGAATTAATTTCACTTGAAACTTTTTAATAATCTGTACATCGAAGACGCGATCAACATCATTAAAGACAGATATAGAAGGGGCAACAGATTAGTATGTTTAGATTTGCAGATGACATTGCAGTATTAGCATTTAGGAAGCAGTTAAAGATGGCCTTAAATAATACAGAAGCGGTATTGACAAAACAGTATTGTATGAAAATAAATAAAAGTAATACAAAAATACTGGTATGCAAGAGAAGAAAATGTAGGGAAAAAGCGAATATAAAGATAGGAGACGAAAAATTAAAACAAGTGGCTGATTTTCGATATCTATAGGAAGTCAGATAAGTCAGGATGGAAGGAATAATACTGATATAAACCAGAGGATAGCGAGTCGCTTTTAATAAAAAACAAGAAAAAAATTGTGAATGGTGTATGTCTGGAGCGCGGCGCTGTACGGGTGAGAAACATGGACGGTGGGCGCGGCGGAAAAGAAAAGGTTAGAAGTGTTCGAAATGTGGTGTTAGAGGCGAACGAAGATGATATCGTGGATAGAATAGGTTAGAAATGAAGAGGTATTAGAAAGAATAGGAGAACAAAGGATTCTAGGGAAGTCAATAAGGAATAGGCGAGATAAGTTGGTAGGACGCCTTCTCAGGCATGAAGGGCTAACCAGAGACGTATTAGAAGCAGAAACAGGAGTTAAGAGGAGTAGAAGTAGACCTAGATTAGATTACTGTTCACAAATAGTTAATATCATTCTTCTATTTCTGAATTTTATCCCTGCATTTTTAAGTATATTTAATATTTTTCCCTATTAAACCTCTCAAACGCTTTTTCTACATCTACGAATCCTGTGTGTACGTTTATAGTCCTCCGGGACTTCCCCGTCTCGTATGTGTACCTAACTATTAAATTATTAAATTAGTAGAAATAGATATTTTTGAATTAGCGATTTGTAAAGACAATTTTGAGTTTACTAAATACTGCAGCAGAAAATTTGATTAAAGAATGAAAAATAATTTGATTATAAAAGCTTTTATAATTAGACATATATACATTACAAAAGCATTTTTTTAATGAAATCTAAAAGTAAATATTTTAGTCAAACTTTCAATCGAAGCTAAAACGATAATGATTACTGAACATTAACCGCGATCAAATGTAAGTAAAACTAAATTGTGAAATCATGGCATGACTAAAATAATCACTAAATTTTCTTAACCCTCAACACAGATCCTTCCTTCAATCGTGTCATCCTTTTTATTAAATTATAGTTGCTTTTTTCTACCTCTAATGTTATCGAGTTTTTGTTTTTAATGGCCTCAGAAGTAAAGCCCATTTTTATATTATAGGTCAAATTACGGTCTGGTCACAGTCAAGTAAAATATCAATTCATACTATAAGGAACGGTCAAATCACGGTCCTGTCGATCAACCGTGACTCAACCTTGACTTGACTGATAGCATGAATTGAGCTTAATAAGTTTCGCTAATTTTTTAATGTTAGTTCAAT